AATATCCAAGTCACTGATTGACCATAGGGATCACAATGGGGGTGGAAACAATAAACGGGAGGATACCTCTTTTCTCCCTACTCTATTTCCCATCCCTACCATAAGCCACTATTTATGATAGATAACGTGGTATGCCTCGGTTGTATTTGAATGGTAAAATGATTAAAATTCACTGAATTAGAGTGAAGTAAAAGACTCTATCTACCGTATTTAAATAAATTGGAGAGCTAACAGATGTTTACCGAACTACCATGTAACAAATTCATAGATAGCTATTATGGGAATATATAGATGAATACAGCAGAACCCTTCCATTCTGAGGAACTAACAACAAAATGTTGTAAGAACATGCAAGAAAGTGAAATCAATTCTGGATGGGGGAAGGAACAGACAGATAATAGGGGGAAATCTTAGAAAGAGTCATGGAAAAGGTTTTTAAAAGCATTTAAAATAGGCCTAATAGAACAAATAGGATTTGGGGGTATCTGGGTGGCAGTTGTTGGGCCCCGCATCGGGCTCCCTGCTCTGCGGGAGGCCTGCTTCTCCCTCTCCCACTCCCCCCTTTTGTTCCTGCTCTTGCTATCTCTTTCTGCGTGTCAAATAATTAAATAAAATCTTTAAAAAAAAAAAAAAAACAGGATTTTAATGATAGGCAAAAATAATGACCCAAGCATTTTACTTTACAACCACCTTTACTTCATCTCCCAATTCTTCTAGTTAACTAAGGACAATGAAACGAACTCTCTTTAATACGTGGTTCCAAAATGAAAGACTTAAATTACTCATTGTTCAAGAAATAACAAAATGAGTTTAAGAATGGATAATAATTACCTGTTATGCACAAACAATGAATCATGGAACACTACATCAAAAACTAATGATGTAATGTATGGTGATTAACATAACAATAAAAAATTTAAAAAAAGAATGGATAAAAATTACCTAATAAAACTGAGGATACCAAAACTATTGTGATTTTGGCTAGAAACATGAACCATATAGAAAACCATTCAAGTTACATCAGAACATCTCAAAATCCACTTAAATCTAATGGTTAAGGCCAAAAGGGGGGGGTAAAAAATTAAATTTACTTGTCACTTTCTGGACTCAAGTGATAATTGTGATGAACTAGCTGGCTATAGGTCAAAACTAACTCTTATGAGGTTGTAATGATTTTAAATATATATATATATATATTAGAAACAAAGAGAATGCCAGAAGCCATTTAATTTTTCAAAAAATACTGTTTTCCTATATTCAAAACAAATGATCTACCGGCAAAAGTAATCCTTTAGAAAAGTGAATTCCAGGGCGCCTGGGTGGCTCAGTTGGTTAAGCGACTGCCTTCGGCTCAGGTCATGATCCTGGAGTCCTGGGATCGAGTCCCACATCGGGCTCCCTGCTCAGCAGGGAGTCTTGCTTCTCCCTCTGACCCTCTTCCCTCTCGTGCTCTCTATCTCTCATTCTCTCTCTCTCAAATAAATAAATAAAATCTTTAAAAAAAAATCCTATTAAAGAAAAGTGAATTCCATGATGTAGTAGTCACGGACGACTGAAGGAGAAAGTCTTTTAATAACTTTAAAGCATCTTATAGATTCTTTTATTTTGTTCTTTGCCAAATAGGGCTTTAAAAGATGTTCATCCTAAACTCTGCAAATTACTCAAAATCTTTTTTCAATAAATCTTTTTCACATTCACTGAACATTCCCTCCCCTGAATATTTACTGAATCAATAAACCTCCACAAATTACTTTCTGGTAAGATCGTTTTGTGCATAACGAAAATGATGACTTTTAATTCTATGGTAACAATGAGAAATTAGAAATCTATTTATATACCACCAAGCAATTCTGTAACACCTATTTATTGTGTGTATACCACAAACAATGGATTTATTCAATAAAAACTAGTATTCAAATCAAATTATATTTTAAATGTACAACCAATTTTTATTATGTGTGGTAACTGTTCTATAAAGTCACCACAAACAATGAATTAGTGAATACTGAACCACCGCTCCTAGGGAATACACAGGGCTAGGTTCCTGCAAGCCCTGATCACATTTTCATCAACTAATCACTATGTAACCTTGTTTTAGATATGTTTCTGTTCAAGGACACCTTATTTAATATATAATTTATTTATTACTTAATAATAACTTTATTTAATAATATAATTCATTAACATTGACCTCACAGCCAATAGCATTAATTCATGTCTGAACAAAACTGAATACATATATATTTTTTCTCCATTAGGCACATCACAGCCTTTTTGCATTTAGGAACACTAGACAGAGCTTCAGCACTATGGTTGGGGGCTATTTAACACTGAAATCACCAACAAAAATCACAAAAATGCAAAAAACATGGCACTAAATAGAGCACAAAAGAGAACATGTCCTTACAGTATGAGAGATGAAAACAAGAAGGCAAGAGTCACCTTGTGTGAAAGTGCGAGTCAGAAGACTCAAATTTTTCACCACTCGGCGCATGTCCATAAATAACCATGAAACTGTTGTAATGATTTTGGACTTAAAATAAATGAGATAGCAGACATTCACAAACACAGAATGTGCAAATAACAAGAATTGACAGTACAAAGAAAGCCTAATTAAATAAATCTCATGGGAAATATTTGAGAGTGCTTCAATCCAGTCAATTTTATAAATACAAGGGTTTACTTACTGGTCATCAAGGATGGGAAAAACTTTATAGCATTGTTTTTAAATTATCACACAAAAACACCAGACTGAAGCAATTTATAAGTTTCCAGATAAAGAATAAAGATGGAAAAATTATTTAAAATTTACTGCCAAGGGACGCCTGGGTGGCTCAGTCGGTTAAGCGTCTGCCTTCAGCTCAGGTCATGATCCCAGGGTTCTGGGATCAAGTCCCGTATTGGGCTCCTTGCTCAGTGGGGAGACTGCTTCTCCCTTCTCCCTTCTCCCTCTATGCTCTCCCTCTGTCTCAAGTAAATAAACAAAATCTTAAAAAAAAAAAAAGGCAGGAAGATAAAAAAAAAAAAAAATGATAGAAAAAGGCATGAAAAGACTATCAGTGCAATTAGAAATTAACACAACAAATATATTCAAGCAAAGTACCTCAGTGAAATAAAAATTAACTTAAACACTCTCAATTCTAATTTATTTAAACTATTATCCAATATAACTATAATTTGTGTCCAGTTTGCATTTCTATTCTTTATAACAAAATTTAGATACATATGTGAACATCATCTATTCACACTGGTACCTGAAATTTATATTACTGAAAATGAAAACAGCAAGATACATTAATTAAGACCAGAAGAGAATCTGAGAACTGGTAATCAAATCAAATCAAAGCCACCAACATTTCTTTCCTTTTAAATTTCAGATGATGTTCACTATAGCACAGTTTTTGGCAGCAAAAAACTAGAAAAATTTGTCTTTTAATAGAGGACTTATTTAAATCATGGAATAGTACATAGTTTTTTAATAAGAAATGAGCTAGAATGTGTGTGTGTGTGTGTATACGCATTGTGTGTGTGTGTGTGTATGTGTGTATACACGGCCTTCAATTAAAAATGTGAAACAAGACAGACGAGAGATGTCTATATTAGGGGAAAAAAAGGCAAGTCACAGAATACGGTGTAAAGTATGATTCCTTCTTGAAAAACAAGAAATGTAACTTGTTTATATATGCATACACACTGAACCACTAATGAGGAAGGGACTTTGACACTTTCATTTTTTATAATGAGCATGTATAAGTTTTATAAGCATACAACAGGTTCTTGGCAAGTGTTAGATTACCTTGTTATAGGTATTTTTAAAATAAAATAATGCGATATAAAATTCATGTTGTTTGAAAATGATTCCTATAAACTTATTCAGGTAAATCCTGTTAAATATAATTAAAAACAAACATTCCCAATTCAAAGAATTTCAGTATGTTCTCAAAATTTAACACTAACCAATCCCCCCAAGCTGAAACGTTTATTGATTTATACCAAGGGTCAGCAAACTTTTTCTGTAAACGTCAGACAGTAAATATTTTAGGTTTTGCAGACAAACATGGTCTCTGCTACGTATTATTCTTTTTGTTCCTGTCTTTGGTTTTTTTAACAACCCTTTGGGAATACACACACATACACACACACACACACTAGGTTATTAGACACACACACACACAGACCACAGGCTGAATTTGCCTTGCTGGCCACAGCTTGTCAACCACTAATTTACGACAATAAACCAGCAACTGGACATCTGATATCTTAAATATATTATGACAAAGGTATCAGAAATCACAACAGTCAGTTTTATTCTACGTTAAATAAAGCAAGGTAGTATTGGAGAAATTAAAATTATAGGTCGATTAATACACTGAATTCTATTAATATGTTAGACATTAATCAAACAATGATAAAACACAGCAAATAACATTTTAAGTATTCATATTATAAAACCATGATCATGTGTGCACCTGCAAAGCACACATATCCACTTGAAAAAGTCAGCTGAAACTGAAATACTACACATCAAAGCTCAAATCTCCTTTTATAATAACTAAAACCATTTACTCATTCAAATAATCAAAACTAGCCAGTCATTTGTTTTAGATGTCATCAACCCTTGAAAATTAAGAACTGAATTCAGAGGCTGGTAGTATTACTAGGTTTTAATTTTTTAATTTGTAAGGGTTACTGTAAAATATTAATCAACAATCTAAAATATTACACTTTAAAAGTTTATATTCTGGGAAACTTTTTAATATTTACTGTGTCAGCAACCATCACTGGAAACGTGACTATACTTTTTTTCTTTGCCTAAAAGATAGCTTTTATATATTTGATTTTGTTTAAAAATGTAAGATCCTTATTGTAATCTGAATGCTACTACCAAAGGAAAATTCCATTATGAATAATAAACTGGGTCAAATTGAAACTCTAAAATGAAAATGTATCTCCCCACCCCCACCCCAAGTAACCAAATAACCATTACAGAATATTCTTACCTAGACTGGTGGGTTTTATCAGTTCATCCAGTAAATCATAAAATGGTAATTTCTGAAGTTTTATATCCGGATGGACTGGGTGAAGAGCTGATGTAAGATGTGGAAGTTCCAGTTCATGTTTAGGTCCCAGAAGAGAAACAGGGAGTAACGGTGATGATGCAGGGTGACCATCATAAGTGAGTTGTGGAATGGTAGATGGAGACAAAGTTGCTGGCATAGGACTTGAATGGACATTGGGGATGGACAAGTCCGCGGGCGTCATGATTTTCTGGGGGAACCTCCGCCTATAGAGTTCTTTAATTTTCATTTGTACAGCAGGACTGCAGCCAGCCTTTAGCAAATGCAGGGCTTTTGTGAGAAGTTCGTGTTTGCGTCCGTGCTTGTTTCTCCCAGCGTAGCCCAACAGTACTTGGAGTTCAGAAACTCTAAGGCTCATAACCATTTGCTTAGAGACAAAACAAAATGTAAAACATTAGTATTCCAATAGTATAATTTACAACATTAAACAATACTTTATTCTAACCCTTTCCCCTCATGGTTTACTTTAAAGGCCAGCTCAGTTACAATCAATTCTAGTTATTTCCAACTTAAAATAAGTAACCAAAAATTTTTAAAAATTAATACTCAAAAATTCAGTGACTTCTACCCAAGGTTATGAAAGATGTAAGATGAAGTATACACCAGGTAGAACCACATCTCACCTCATTCCACTGTTTTGATGCAATTGTCAGCTATTCATCAAGCACTTACTGAGTCTTCAGGAGAGTGCTGAGTGCTATGTGGATGGCAAAATATTAGGATGAGCCCTCAAGAACGTTGTTCTCTTGGGGGAAAAGTATATAACTATACATGAAACACATAAATGCCCACCTCAAACACCAGACGCAAGCAGGGTATAAATAACATACTATCAGGTATTACGTTCTATGCTGACCCTGGAATTTGTAGGACTTAAAAACTATATATCCTTTTTGACCCATATTTACCAGATAGACTTGGTATTTTCATATGGGTGTCACTAAATCTTTATTATTTCCCCAAGGTGTTATCCTCTTCCTTACACACGAGGAAACTATGTAATTAAGAAAGGTCAAGTAACTTACCTAAGGCCATATAGCTACTAAGTAGCAGTCAGGATTCAAACCCAGATATGTATGATTCTAAAGCCCACTCTCTTTTCACTATACCTTTAGGAAAAGGACAGAGCTGGAAACATAATATTGACTCACTCCACTGGCAAGGCCAGGCTAAAACGTCTAGGAATTCAATCCACATGCCATAATGTGGAAGGCTGTAATAAAGAAATCTATTTAACTTTAACTCTTTGTTCCCAAACTTGTTTGGTCGCTGTTTGTCCTTTTTCTCCAATTACTAAGAGACCACCAACAGGAAATGCCCAACTATACCAATCCTCTCGTTTTAAAGTGGAAGAAAATGGAATCCAGAGAGAAGAAATGGCTTACCCAAGATCAGACAGTATTAATAGCAGAATCCTGACTTGATCACCACTGACAGGGAGGTATTAGGGTAGAAGACACAGGTAAGCTTACCACTGGCTCTCTATTTCCCAAACTGTTTTATCCCCTCACCTCAGACCTAATAGCAATACACAAAAGATAAACTGCCTTCCCTAATTCACTGCCACTCCCTGAGAGGCCACCCTACCCCAGTCAATCCTCTGGAAGCTATTTAAACAGTGCAAAACAATTAAGTAAAAAAATCGAACAGTGAGAAAACAAAAAAAAAAGGGCCTTATATATAATATAGCTGGTTATCAAACACATATTAACCCTTCCCCTACTTCTCTGGCCTGAAAAATACTTTGTTTCCTCAAATTCTAGCTTTTGTCAGCCTTAGTCCATTAGGCCTGGCAACATTAATGACTCTTTTCTCACTATTTTTACTAGCCATTTTGCATATCTTTATTTAGCACTTTTTTTTTTGTTTAATAATTTTCTATTTGTAAAAGTGATTCCATGACCAGTTTGAGGTCCTCCAGGGCACAAGCCAGTATCACCCTCAGCATCTAACACTAGGGTCTGACAACAGTAAAAACACATCAAATGCCTGGACAATTTGAATAAATAAATGAATGAAAGAATGAAATAAACAAGAAAGTCACACCAGAAGAAAGGGTGGGGTGGAATCTACAATGGTAAATTATACATACAACTATAATATAAATGCAAATAAACCCCCAAACTCTTACATTCAATAGAAGGCACACAAAGAAATACTACAGGCCTTACAAATAAAGCCTATCCCAAATCCTATAAATGCTTCTCTTTTTTAGATATGATCAGAGATTAATTACTAACCATAGTGTCAGCAAGCTATCAATTTCTCCCTACTATCCAAAATGTCCTAAGAGTACAAAACAGAAAAAAAGATTTTTATTACTTATATTAAAAGGAACTGGGACTTCAACTGAAAAGTACTATATTAATAAGTAAGCTTCTGCTTTTGGAGAAATAACAGAAATTATGCTTCAAAGATTATCAGTTAAAAATAAATTTAGGTTGGCATTGGTCAAATGTACTTCATTTTACAGAGAAAGTAGTATAAATTTTAGAAAGAGAACAATGTCTTCCTACTTCATCTGCATTCTCCTAGGTCAAACACAAATAAACCTGAATTCAGTGATTATCACAGGCTTTTCACTGATGACAGTTTTTGTCCTTACTCTGTGGGTATTAGGGATTTAAATGTGGCACAGATGTATTACTGTTTTACTTATATGGAAGTACACACTGGCAATTCACATAAAATAAAATCTCTTACGTGATGGTCAAAAGAAAAAAGATGACATAATAACAGTTTTTTTACAGGATGTGTAATTAACCATCAAAATTATGAGGCAGGTATTGTCCTCATTTTACAGATAGGAAAACTGAGGCCTAAGCAGGTTAAGAAATTTGTTGAATATTCTACAACTACTCCAAATATTATGCTTTTACACTATGATACCATCTTTTAGAGAAAACAAATCACATGCCTTTCAATAAGGAAAGAGAAAACCTTTAAAAGACTAATTGATTTAACACTTAATCTCCATTTCAAGCTTCAATATTTTGGCTTTAAAAAAATTGGTGGTTCAGATAAAAGAATGCATCTGGATTCAAATTAACCACTATACCTTAAAATCAGGTTTAGTGAAAGATGGGGTACTCTCCACCGCTATTATTGGAGCCGCTGCTGCATACTCTTAAGGACTGTAATAAGCACACAGTATTTTTAAAAACTAAATAAAAGGGGGCGGGAAACACAAACATCTGACGCACCACTCAACTGAAAAGCTTCAGAGAACCATGGAGCAGTCAATTCACAATGCAAAGTGTTGACAACACAGAGGAAAACTAAACACATCTGAGATGTTGAAATGCCATATATTTTAATCTGTCATGTGTTTAAAAATCTCCATTTGTTAGCACTACAACAAAATGAATATTTATAACTAAGGATAACATCAACCACTGCTACTACTAGAAATCATTACCTCCCCAAATAGCATTCTGCTGACTCTACATCCCCAAATGATAGAGTTGTCAGAACCCTAGGAAATTCAGAGCCTGAGAGATGTATATACGCTGTACAGAAAGCATTCTGTGAGGGGCATCTTTTTAAAATAAATTTTTTTTAATCAAGCAGATATGCACACAGTTTAAAAAATCAAATAGTGTGACGAGAAAACAGATGTCCCTTGCCCCGCCCCTACTTTTCACATCCCTGAGGCAACCTCTTTCAAGTCTTTTGGCTATTCCTTCTGGCATTTTTCACTATATTCTATACAGCAGGTCTATGTGTTCTTCAAATTTTTCCTTCTAGGAAAAAACTGACTTATTATAAACAATAATGGTTTAGCTCTGTGACATCTCTACCCCCATATTCCCATCACAATTTTCAGTTGAATCAGTTGTTGTTTACATTACTACAGCAGTAAATAATATACGCATTTGAGCCAAAGTACATCATGATTACTCTTCCGTTTCTGTAGAACCTTGGCTTTCCTTAGTTAATAACTGCACCATTTGTGCATTTGCTTTGTTTTCTAGGTAACTACTAATTCATCTGCAAACTGATAAAAGTGTAACTTTCGGGACCCCTGGGTGGCTCAGTCAGTTAAGCGTCTGCCTTTGGCTCAGGTCATGGTCCCAGGGTCCTGGGATGGAGCCCCACATCGGGCTCCCTGCTCAGCAGAGAGCCTGCTTCCCTCTCTCCCTCTGCTGCTCCCCCTGCTTGTGCCCCCTCTCTGTCAAATAAATAAAATCTTAAAAAAAAAAGTGTAACTTTCAAAAAAAAAAAATACATCAGGTAAAACTGTTTTCATTTCTTTCTTAAATATATGCCTTCTGTAGCCCTCTATCAGGTTCCAATTTGGACTGCTTGCTCTCTAGACCTGGTACACAACCATGGTCATAGAATTTCCCTCAACATATCTTTGTAATTTCCTGTCCTTCTTCCATATTGGATCCCATTTCACTGATCTCATTTTTTCCTCTTAGTTTTCTCTTTTTAGTAGAGTATTTCCTCCATTTTTTTCCTAACAAGGAAATGGAAGCTACAGTTTTTTATTCTTTGCATTGTCCAAAAATATATTCATTTACCGATACTTAATAACTGAGTTTGGCTCAGTATTTGAATTCTAGACAGGAAAGCATGTTCTGTCAGAATTTTAACAGCCTTTCCTCACTGTCTTCTGGCTTCCGGTGTTGCTGTTAAGAAGCCTAGCATCATCCTGATCCCCAATGCTTCACAGTAGCCTGTACAACCCCTTAAGGAAGCTTATCTTATATAGAAGCTTCTTGGGGCGCCTGGGTGGCTCAGTCGGTGAAGCATCTGATGTGGGCTCAGGTCATGATCTCAGGGTTCTGGGATCCAGCCCTGCGTCAGGCTCTGCGCTCTGCAGGGAGTCTGCTTCTCCTCCTCCCTCTGCTCACGCTCTCTCTCACATAAATAAAATCTTTTTTAAAAAAAAAAAAGCTTCTTTCTATGTGCTCTGCAATTTTACAGTGTTGCATCTTGGGGTTGGGTTGGTTTTTCTGTGGGGGGGTGTTTTTGCTTTAATTGTATGAACTGGTAATTGCTGTCTTTTAAATTTAGAGATGTACATTTCTTATGTGCCTATTATTTAGGTACTGGCCTTCTTAGACCGATTCTCCAATTTTCCTTTATTCTATTTTCTTTTTTTTTTTCTTGCATTTTACATCTCTTGCATTTAGCTCTATTTTCTGAGAGATTTCCTTAACTTGATCTTCTAACGCTTCTATTAAAATTTTCATTCCCATGAGCTCTGTTCTGTTACATGCCTTTTTTCTTTTCTTTTTCCCCTACATCTTGCTCTTAGTTTTCATGAACGGAGTATCTTGTTTTCTCTCTGACGATATTAATAAATTGGGTACTTGGCGTTGTTATTGTTTTCTTTTGCTGTCTGCATGGTCTCTGTAA